TATATATATATATATATATATATATATATATATAAAGATAATCTTGATAGAACCGTCTTATCCTATTGTTCCTTCCTACTGAACCTTATTTTACGCTATTAATTGTTAAAATTTTATTATCTTTATGAAGATTGCTAATTTATTGGGGTCAATTCGTAGCAAAATTATTGTAAAATATTTTATACAAATGTATATAAAATTCAACAATTTTATTTGATGACAATTGACACGTCTCATAATTTATCGAATAAGTATTACCGATGAAATGTCAATGATAAATGTCCCCTTATATATTGTGAATACGGCTTCTGTAATTTTTATACAAAAATATATGTAATGTATGTTGAATGACAAATTATTTAAATTCAAATTTTACACGCATGTATGCACATACATATACATTTTATATTAAATCTATTTACAAACCTTTTCAATGGTGCGAAAGTTTAGCATTAAATGTGAGGTACGAGCTCAAATTTGAGTCAACTACTTTTTGTTAGCCCGAAATTTCTAACAAATTATATAAATATTTTATTGATAATTTAGACTTATTTTTTTAACCATATACAGTTTTTGTACTTGTCAATTTTCTGTTTTTACAATATCTGAGAATATAGTTGTGTTTTACGTTAGGTAAAACAGGTAAAACTATAACGAATTTGAAAAATTAAACTTAAAAGTCTTTCTTTTCCATTTCTATTTTAAAAGATACTAATACAAGTGCCGCATTGAAATTTTCGGAAATGAAGGAGAGAGAAGAAAATTGTATCAGGTCTTCTCATAAATAATGTCCCATATTTTGGAAATAATTTTAAGCAATAAAAAAATACCAGAATTTTAAATTATTGCTTACAACAATATTCTTCAATTTCTAATTTAAAACATTTCACATTTGAATTAATTTTTAAAATAATGAATATTTTTGACACGAAATTCTTGGTTTTCAATTTCTCATTTAAGTCGTCCGAATTAATGTTTTAAATAATACATAATTCAACATAAAAGACAAAAAACGATATTCAACATAAAAATATTACTTATGGGACGACCTAATGGAAAAAAATGTAAAATTTGTAAAAAGTACATTAAAAAGATGGGATGTACAAATTGCTAGAAACAGCTGTTGAATTAAAAATCTGCAAAACTAAATATGCATTTCTATTTTTATAGTAACTTTATAAAACTTTATAAAAAATAATTGTTATAACCGTTATAATTTTTATTTCAATTATGAAATACTACGCCACGAATGATCTATTGAAGAAAAATGCAACATGTTAAAAATTTGAGGTTATGAACAATACCGGTGTTTCGCTCGTCGAGCAAAAGTTTGAGTTTAGGTTAGGTTAGATTGCGCTTTAGAATCTTCACGTTTACGAAAGACCGAATGTTTCGTAAATATAATTTACACCTGTGCTTGCAAAATGAGTGGCGACATAGTAAAAAAAGGAACAACAATCTTTACCGGCAAGCCATTCGTCTTTACTCTTAACTCGAAGCACAGGACTACTCGATGTGACAATTGTTTGAAGAGGTATAGAACAGCTTGTGAAATTGCGATATTTGCCATTTAATGATTTTCTATCACATTGTTTTAAATTATTTCGGATGGGATTAATTTTATGTATGATAAATTACTATCAAGTAAGAATGCATTTAGCGTACACTGCATAGTACCTCATGAGTATCTCATGTGATTTATCATTGCAGTGGGAAATTGTTAAAGTGCTCGGGCTGTCAGTATGTGTACTACTGCGACCGGAATTGTCAGAAAGAATCGTGGCCGATACACAAGGCAGAGTGTGCACGTCTGAAGAAGGTATCGCCGAAAGTGTTGCCAGATGCAGCCAGACTTATGGCGCGTATAATTTTCAAGCTCAATCAAGGTGGAGCCGATGAAGTGGGCTATTACACTGATAAAAACTTTAGGAAATTCAAAGATCTAATGTCCCGTAAGTACTTTCGTATCTTCCTAAGAAAGACGATATTAAGAACCATGAATATATATAATCAACTTGCATCTCTGGACTGTAGATTATTCGGACATAAAAGTGGATGCAAAGCGACAGGAGCATTTCGTCATGCTGTACGGAGTTTTACTCCAATTTCTGGACGAGACACTCATGCCCAACATCGCGGAGCTGATGGGTATTTATGGCAGGATATGCACTAACTGCTTCAATATCCTGGATGTCAATATGAATACCATTGGAGCTGGCATCTATCTGGGAGCGTCTGTGATGGATCACAGTTGCAAACCTAACGCGGTCGCCGTTTTCGAAGGGACCACCATCATCGTCAGAACGCTGACGGATCTTCCCTCTTTGGACTGGTCACAGGCAAGCATTGACAAAGACGCAAACTCCAATAGTCGAAAAACATTTGACCTTTTTAGTCTGACTCTCAAAAATTCCATGAAATTGGTTTTACTAATAATTTAAAAGCGGTTTAATATAATTATAGGAAATGTTTTACATTTCGGAATCTGTATAATTTTATTTTGCGCAGGTAAGAATCTCGTACGTCGATTTACTTAATTCTAATAAGGACAGGCGCGAGGAGCTGCACAGTTCGTACTATTTCTGGTGTGATTGCGAAAGATGTAAACAAGAGGAACCAATGGCTGAAGCGGCCGCATGTCCGAACTTATCGTGCGACTCGCCGTGTTCGGTTGAAGCTGATAAATGCGAGAAGTGCGACACCAAGATATCTGTAGAATTTAAGGAGACATTTCGGGAAGTTGTCGACTTTACCGCTCATCATTTGGAAAAAATGAAAACTATGGCTTGTATCCTTTCAAGATTCACGTTAAGAAATCTAATAATATTTTTTCATCTCAATAGATGTATCAAATTTTGACGTAATGCATTTGTTCTTTACAATAATAAACATTTCCTTTATATTTCCTTATTAATGGCAATAGATCTTGATGTTAGTAAGATATGTTTGAAAAAGCAAAAGGGTGTAATGCATAAGTTTAATATACAGCATGTCCGTACTCTAGAAATGGCTCATATTGCGGCTATGGATCTGGAGTGTTGGGAAGATGCGGAGTTTTATGGCAAGGAACTCATGCCAGGATATTTGTGAGTGATCATTTATATAACGTATATAGATAATAAGATAATTCACAAATCATTTTCTAACTTTCAAATATTAATGTCAATGTCTTTTATTTTTTGTATTTGCTTATTTTATTTATTACAACATTGTAATAAGTCGTTAGAATGTACACGTGCTATAATTAGCTGAGAATAATTAATTCGAAATAATAGCGATTCTCCCTGACGGGTTTTAATAAATGAAAGTTAGAAAATTAATAATCCCAAGTTGGACCATTATACCATTGCGATCGTTTTTCAGATTGTATTACGGGGAAGTACACCCTTTGACAGGGTTGCTATATCTCACGACGGGAAAGATGCAGTTGCACTTGGGAAAACCGAAAGAAGCGCTCAAGGCGCTGAACAAAGCGAGCATGGTGTTAATGATAACACATGGTGATAAGCACTCCTTGATGAGGGAGGAATTGAGACCTTTGCTCTATCAAGCTGTTATGGAGTCGAACAGTGATACTCACGGCGCGTAGCAATCTTATATTTTTGTAATTTTTAGTAATAAATTATTTTTTAAACGCGAGCTCAACGCATTGCTCGATGACCAGCTCAACATATTTCTTTTTTGTTTCCCTCATGTGCTGATTATTATCATTTTTCCGAGAGCATAGATAGCTTAATTATTATTAATACATTTGTTAAAACATTAATTTTTTTTTTTTTTTTGTATATTTGTAATATGTCTATGATT